CGTCCCATTCTAAGTGCTAATGGTGCCTCCACTGAGAAATGTGGCAAATGACTGAACCACCTACACCCAACCCCTAAAAACCTGACATCTCTTTGTGTGCATATCTGTTCTTTCTGCCTGCCCAGCACCCATTCCCCTGTTGTTGGTAACATCTCAATTTTCCTTTGGGAAGCTGAACCTCACCCAGTCTGTCTATGAGCTTCAGGCACAGATGGATTGCCCACTCCCCATCCCAAGTTCATGACCTAGGCCTGGTCAATCAAAGCATCCCGTCTCCCTGGCTGTAGTGATTTAGGATAAGCATGTAGCCAACTACAATGAATGAGACTCAATCCCACAGCTTTGCAGGAACTAACGGGGAAAGGGGGGCTGTCTCCTCACAGGAGTAACTGAGATGACAGGATGAACTAGAACTGCATGGTGAGCGCATGTCTGACAAAAAAAAACCCACAAAAGATAAAGCAGAACAAAGAGATGGATAGAGATCTCTGAAGCACCTAGATCCAGCCATGCCTGAAACTCTGGCCATGCTTGAAACCAGCACTTTCCTAGACTTTCCAGTTCTGCGACTTAAAAATCCCCCTTTCTTTTTTTCACTCTAGTCAGTCTGAGTTAGGTTTCTGTGTCTTGCAAATAGTTCTTAGTCAATAGTTTACTCAAATATTTCATTCACTCATTCCTCTACGTACAAACTATACAACAGATTATTACCATCAGAATGGTAATTATCCATTGGGGAGAAAAAGGGACACCTGTAATATTTTAAACAAAAATAAAATTTAAAAAAAAGAAAAGAATGGTAATTATCTAATGAAGGGAGATACAAGGTAAGTAGGAGGCAAGAAGCTCACAAATCTTCCAAGATGGAAAATGCTAAATATTGCAGGCTGCCTGGGGATGCTATTTTAGGAAAGTGCATTAAGTGGACATGATAAATGCCAGGCTCTGTAGCCTAGAAAAAACAGTCCCATCAATCCCACCATATGGCGTCCCCACTCCTGTCCGACCTCCCCAGGCCTCTGTCTTCCATCACACCCACCAGTGGGTAAACACCTCATCAACCTTCAAGCTCAGGAATTTACCAGTGAGATGAACAAATACCTTCCAAGGGAACCGAGGGCCACATATTTTATCCTAATGTAGTAGTCAGAGGCTTCGATGTCTCAGCCAGAGCCAAGGTCCCAACTGACACCCAAGTTCATCTGTTTCATGCCCAACAGCTCAACAAACTCCATCTCAGGAAGCCCATCACCCACCCCAAAACGGAGTGGCAAATTCAAGGTCAAGAAAAGCCAGTCCGGCCTGTAAGCATCTCTTGCCAGGGCTTCCTAACGGAGACCAGGGTAGGAGACAATAAGTGAACAGCCAAGCTGGAAAGTTCAGGTGACAAGTTGGAAACTCAGTTTGATCTAAGGATCTAATGTGCACAGCAAAGGGTTATGGGAAAAGGATACCCTGTCCTAAGTGTAACACAACCCATGGATTAAGCCCTGTTGCTTGCTCCCTCTGACTGATCTTTTCCTATTAAAAAAAGAAAAGCAATTCAAAACACGTTAGATTTCTGTATGATTTGCTATCACTTGTGTAAAAGTAAAGTAACTAAAAGAAATACTGTACATAAGTTTAATGACATTTATTATGCATAGTCACTGTTATGCTGATACAGATGGAGGCTCTCTCTGGAAATACACAAAAGAAGCAGGGAAGAAAAGAGTTGTGCCTTTTAATGCAGATCAGTGGTCCTCAACTGGGGGGGCACTTGGCAACGCCTGGAGACATTTTCCCCCCTTTTTTATTGAATTTATTGGAGTGACACTGGTTAACAAAATGGAGAGACATTTTTGATCATCACAACTGGAAAAATGGGGGGAGAGGCACCACTTAGCATCTAGAGGATAGAGGACTGGAATGTTGCTAAACACCCTACAATGCACAGGACCGCCCCCACAAACAAAGAATTATCGGGCCCCAAATGTCAACAGCGCTGAGGCTGCAAAACCCTGCTGCAGATCCTTTAGAAGAGCTTTAATTACTTTTACCATGGCGATGCATTACTGTTTTAAAATAAAACGTATCACATATACATATACAAAACAGTTATAAACATGTAGAGGCTTTTTAACAACTTAAAGAAAAATAATAAAATGAATACCCTATATAACTACCATCCAGTCTTACACTGTTTTTACTCTTCAAGATCAAAGAGGGTCTTCAAATTCCTGGGGAAAGCTGGGGAGACCTAAGTGTGAAAAGAGTGAGAGGGCAGAACTTTCTAGCCCAGAATGCAGCAGTGTCTGAGCTGGAAGGGATCTTGGGAACAGAGTCCCAGTCACCTCCTGTGCCAACTCCAGGCAGCTGACAGTGGTCACCTGGGGCATTGATCAAACATAACTCAGTGGGCGTGAACACCATGACCGACTGTGGATGTCTGGTGTGGGCATGGGAGGTGGGAGAGGACAGGGCTCTGTGTGTGACATCCCTGTGGCCTAACCCCTTCATGTTCCATATGTGAAAACCCAGAGGCAGGGAAGTAGAATGACTGGCTTCAGGTCAGACTGTGAGCTGGGAGCAGAATTCAGCAGGTGTCCTGACTCTCAGAACATTCCATTCCTCTAAGCTGGGGTCAGCATCCTATGGCCCGTGGTCCACACCTGTTTATGTCTGGCCTTGAGCACAGAATGGCTTTTACATTTTTTAAATGATTTTTAAAAATCAAAATAATAGTATTTTATGACACATGAAGATTATATGAAATTCAGTGTCTATACATAAATTCTATGGGAACATAGCCACACCTATTCATTTATGTATTACCTATGGCTACACTAAGTAGTTGCGACAGAGACTATATGGCTCAGAACACCGTCAATATTTACTAGTTAGTGGTGTACAGGAAAAGTTTGCTTACTCCTACTCTGTGCCAGTGTTTATCAAACCACCTGGGGGGAGATTGCTAAAGTTCAGATGGTTCCAGCTGGTCTGGATGAGGCCTGAGGGTCCGCATTTCTAATAAGCAACCAGGTGCACTGCCGCTGGTTGTGGGCCACACTCTGGAGAGTGAGGATTTACTCTAATGGTTCTCAAAGTGTGCCCCAAACCAACAACATTGGGAGCACCTGGGAATAGGCTAGAAATGCAAATACTCAGGCCCTACCCAGACCTACTGGATCTGAAACTGGGTGGGGCCCAGGGAGCCGTGTTTTAACAAGCCCTCCAGGTGATTCCAACACTCCCTCAAGTTCAAGCATCACTGCTTTCCACTGTACTGCCTGGCACTGGGAGACGTGGAACTGAGCCTAATAAAATCCAGTGTCAGAATAAATACACTTCAACAAACACTGAAAAGACAGGAGTGTCCTTAAACATTCCACATGCAATTCAGCTACGATGAAGCGGATGTTAGTCTAATAGGAAACTATCATACTTATGAAAATGTGTGTTTAGTTCACAGAACTTCTCGTAAGAACATACAGGGTGGGCAAAAGTAGGCTTACAGCTGTGAGTACATAAAGCAGAGTTTATTCTTGGATTATTATTTATTAATCATTTTACTGTTTATTTGTATTACAACTGTTAACTTACTTCTGCCCCACCCTGTATATTTGCCAACATAACTAATAGGAGATAATCATCATTAGCACCTTTAAAGACATAGTTAAGAATACAAAGACAGAAAGGAAAAGCAAACATGGGCATCATTGGAAGTTATCCTTAACCATTCTTAGCTATTAACTGCGTGGTATCTCTATTTGGTCTCTTTGTAAAAGAGCAGCTTGCACTGCTGTCTTTAAACTTTTCAAAGTTAGCCAGCCAGGGACAGACCCATTAAAGTACCCAAGACATGCATATTGGAACATTCAGTACAGAACGGATCATAAGAGGAAAGAATGCGAACCATCCTAAAAATCCAGGATTGGGAGACAGGTTGAATCAACTACGGCACATCTGTGCCCTGGACAAGCATTTGTTAAAACAAAGGAGATCTGAACACATGAACTGAGAGGTTATATAGTTAAGTCCAAAAAAGGTCTAGAACACTATGTATAGTATGACTCACTTTCAATATATTAAAATATTTTTAAAATATCTATATACATAAACTTTTTTTCTGAAAAGATACATAAAACTGTCACTTTGGAAGAGAGGGACTGATGGGAGGGAAGACAATATACTTTTCATTTCAAAACTTTCTGCATGGTTGGAATTTATTTCTTTACAATGAATGAGAAATATTTGTTGAGTACCGACTTGCACTATTTTAGGCACTGGGATTACAGCAGTAAAGAGACAAGACAAAATCCTTGCCTTCCTCGAATTAACATTCCAACGGAGAGAGACACAATAAATAAAAGAGTAGGTAAATTTCAGAGTGTGGCCCAGCAGGGCGTGACTCAACAGTGGAGCATTGACCTAGGATCCAGGAGATGGGGTTCGATTCTCAGTCAGGGCACATGCCCGGGTTTCAGGCTCCATCCCCAGTCAGGGGCGTGCAGGAGGCAGCCGATCAATGACGACTCTCTCATCATTGATGTTTCTCTCTCTCTCCCCCTCCCTCTCTCCGAAATCAACAAAGATATATTTAAAAATATATTTATATATATATTTCAGTGTGTTTGGCATTGCCACTCAAAGTGTCACTGCCAATACAAGTCTGTGACCAGTCAGCAATAGACAAGGACCCGACAGGTAGCTCAACTGACATTTTTATTTTTGGCAAGACCTTTTCGATGAAGGAAGCAGAGAATGCTGGTGGGCACTCTGGTGCAAACTCCTTATCTCATGGGGAACCCGTAACAAACAGTTCCTGAACTGGCTACTTTGAATACCCTGGGCTGAAAGCTACTAAGTTTTATAAATAAAATAAAGGGGTATGCATGGCAATTTTTAAAGGGAGTGACAGGAGAAGGCCTTGTTGAAATAGTGACCGTTTAAAAATACTTGGGTATGAGAACAAAACAAAACATAAAACGTCATGGGCTAAGACACTTGGCTTCACTCACCAGGAACGGTGTGCAGACCCAGGTGAAGGTTCCCACTGCGGCCAGGTAGGCAGATTTTTTCAGCACCTTCAGCTCCTCCTGCCGGATGGCCAGCACCTTGTCTTTGAATGCCAGCTCCCAGGCATAAAGCTTTAGCACTTTGATCCCGTTGAGAATTTCATTCATCAGCTTAATCCGGCTGTCTTTGCTCTTCATGTGGGCTACCTTCAAAGACAGTAATCAACCGCACATCTGGAGGCTGGCCACTCACTTCTGGCCATCCATCACTCAACATGCCCATCTATTAAAAAGGGGCCTTCCTGAGGATGCAAAGACTGAGCTGACCCTACTCCCGACCCTGAAAGTGCTCCAAGGGACTCTTTTATCAATGGGGGAAAAAACACCTGCTTCAAATCATGTGAATTTAGACACAAAGAAACCTATTAGATTGAGGAACAGAGGCAAGAAAAATCCTTCAGGTATCCAGGGAAAAAGGGGGACATGGTCCCTACAATGCAGATCCAAACACAAGAGGGATGACGCTGAGTTTTTTCCCCTCCATTGTTTTATTTTCTTTATGAGTTTTCCTCCAGTGCATGGTCAATTAAAATACTGAAATGTTTCTGTAACAGCCGGCACTGGTTCCAGCCCTGGGGTGTCCACGCCATACAGCTGTTAAATACTGCTAACGGCATCTCTCAGTTTCCATAAGCCAGGCACTTTTCTGAGCATTTTGCATGCATTTAGGCATTTAATGTTCAGGAGGACCCTGTCATGAAGTGCTATGGTCATGCCTGGGTCACAGATGAGAACACTCTAAGCAACATGAGGTGAAAGCCAGTGACTGAAGGTGTGTCAGAGGTGGCTGCTCAGAGATGTAACGTGTCACGATCATGAAAGGTGACAGGGCCACAAGCCCCCTTCCTTGCCTATGCTCTCCTGCCCGCCCCGCCCTCACTTGATGAGTTCATCTCTCCTTTGGCACCATTGGCAAGGCCAGGCTCTCTTATTTGAAATTCCACAGGCACATCATAAATAGCCATCAGCAGGGAGCAGAAGAATAAACTCTGGCCAGGCTCTGTTATGGACCATTAGGCACCAGTTCAAGAAGATGAAGTCAGACTGTGGCATGTCACAGAAAGATCCCCGAGACACGTGTCAAATGATGCCAAACAGCTCGTCTGTGTAAAAATATATGTGGTAACAATACCCCAAAAAGCGCATATACACACCAAACCTAACTATATAATCAGATCTCTATATAAATGCACAGAAAGTTATAGAAGGATCTGCTTCATCACGTTCACTGTGGTTCAGAGGCTTGGAAAAAGGACATCCCCTTTTAATCTGTACACCTTTGTATTACTCGAACATTTTTTAATAATGAGAAGGCATTCACTCTGCTACCTGGGTATTCAAAAACTTAAAAAATACAAAGTTTCTTGGAAACTAGAGAGTTTATCACTGCGCCTAGCGTAAGGTAAGGGTGGGGAGGAGTAGGGTTAATTTTTACTTAACTCTTAAAAACACACACAAACGAATAAATTCCAGGAAGTAAGGAATTTCTTAGAGGCTCCCAGACGTGCTTTCAACCACTGGCCCACTGACCTAATGATTTCCGGAGCTCACAACCTTGGCTGCCCACTGTGATCACCTGGGAAGCTTTAAGACTCATGATGCCCAGGCCCACCCACATCAGGTGAATCAGAATCCCAGGACTGGAGCCCGGACATCAGTATTTGTTAAGGCTCCCCAGGGGATCCCAACAGGGACGCAAGGCTGAGAACCCCGCATTCTGAGCAGCAGGAACTCCACTAAAGCCCAAGTAGAAAGGCCTCAGGCTGGGGCCTGGTTTGGAGTCCGGTGGAGATAGATACCCTACCTGATAGGTCTTGGTCTTCATGGCCATCACAGCATTGAGGGGAACCATGAAGATCATCACAGCCACGCCAGCCAGGACAGGGGGGCCCAGGTTCTGCGGAAGGAAAGAGCAAAGGCTTCACACAGGGCTTCCCAGGCTGAGCCACTCACTCCGACTCTGCCCAGCAGCTTCGAGGCAGTTCCGTTACTTTTACCCAACGATGGGCTGTTCAATTTTTTCACATTTACTCCTGAGCGTCTCAGGGGGTCCCACAGTCCCTTTAAGAACATGCAGGTCCATGATCCTTTAGCGGAACCCTTGGGGCCAGATGAGTTTCACAAATTAGGACTTTAGAATTTTAGAAAGGTAATGAGGTGTTGAGCAGAAAACAGCACAAGCCGGCCTGAGCGTTTATCTTGTTTAAAGATCTGCTTACAAATCTGGCCCTTGGCTGGAATCAAGGAGCTCAGATTTGGGGATGGTCCCCACCATTCTCAGAACTGATTTGAGTGGCTCCCTGTGCCTAAACTGTTTGTACAAACAATATGGTGTGTGCTGAACACCCCTTTTCCTTCTGGGAGTCTGGAAGTTTGGTAAATGCCAGGCAGAGGCTGATTATGTGACCAACCCCCACTATAAACCCTCAGCTCCAGGTCTCTACCTCGCTTCCCCGGCTGGCAACGTTCCACCCAAGCTGTCACACCTGGTTGCTAGGGAATCAAGGACATCCTGTGTGACACCACTTAAAGAATTCTGGAAGCTTGGATCTGGTTTCCACCAAGTTTTTCCACCCTTCACTCATCCTGCTGTTATAAATTATAGCCCTGAGTTCTCCTAGGGAATCATCAATCTGGCAGGCTCTTGGGGACTCCTGACACAGGTGTACATGCCCTTCTCCTGCATCCACCCCAACCAGGACCTGGCACAGCACTCCATAATCAAACACATTGATGTTTTAGCAGCAAAACAGACATATTCACACTGAGAGAAATCATCAAGGTTATAAATAGTTCATATGAGTTCACGTCAGGTTTTGCCACCTGCGTAGGATTTGCAGATAAGAGGTGGTAGATTTTTTTCTCTTGTCCCATCTGCAAACAAAGAAACTACTATCTCAGAGAGGTTAAGAGGAGCTGACAATATTGATCGATATCTTTCAACTTCCATAAATACAGGAGATAGCTTGAGAAGTTAGCCCAGTGTGTACCACTTTAGCTGAAACACACAAATGGAACTCGAAGGTCATGTGATTTTTTTCCCCCTTTAGGCATTCAGAAAAATAGGAGTGTCAGTCCCTTCCAAGTAGTCATCTGCAACGGCTACAGGCCTAGTTCCAAAAAGATACTACTGTTGATCCAAATGGCTTTGGTGATATGGAAATTAATCTACCTCTGAGAACAAAGGTGATTTCTACCAACAATCGAAAGTGTTCAGAACTCTGACAGCAAATAATAGTGACTAAAATAGACTAAGAACATCTGTGTACCATGCACTGTTCCATAAACATTACCTGAATTAATCCATTGACTGTCCCAACATCCCTATGATGAGAGGTACCATTCTCTTCACCAATTTACAGAAGAGGACACTGAGGCTTAGAGTCATTAAGTGACTAAATCACAGAGCAAGTAGTGGAAGAGGCAGGATTTGAACCCAGGCGGTCTGATTCCAGGGTCCGCATTGTCATCCACAGTTTTTGATGATCAAATAGAGAAATCCTGTTTTTGGTCCCCAACCAGATAGGAATTTTCCCCCAGGGGACATTTGGCAATGTCTAGAGATGTTTAGGATGTCATAACTGGGGACTGAGAGGAGTGTTGTGTTACTGGTGTCTAGTGGGTAGAGGCCAGGGATGCTGCTAAACATCCTACAACAAATAGGGCAGCTCCCACAATAGAGAATTATGTGGCCCCAAATGCCAATAACACATTCAGCAACCCTCATTGAAAATAAAGCAATATTCTTAATAGTTCGCAAACCAACCCCAAAGGCAATTCTAAAGGAAGTATTCCAAAAATATTTTACCCACATGTGCACCTTCTGGGGAAGTGGGTATCCCAGCACTTTCTGGGGAAATGGATGCCGGAAAAAACATTAATTCTGATATCTGAATTCTGGTATTTATGTTCTAAGTTTCGTTAACAAAAATAATTTATAATCATTTGCTATCTGCTCTATAAATACACACAAAAAACTAAAACACAGTCAAATCAACAGATAATTTGCTGTGTGCCTGTTATGCACCAGGCCCTGCTGGGACTGTACCCAAAGGACATGAAAACCAGACCCAGCGAGTCCATGAAGCAGCTAGCATGCTCCCAGGAGAGGAGAGAGTGGTACACTGAGTGTGCAAAACACTATTCTAAAAGGTAAAATCAGACAAGTTTCTATACTAAAGCTACTGGGGTTCAAAAAAGGAATCTAATTGAGAAGGGAAAAAAAAATCAGTGGCATTTGTTACAGACTTGAGGGATGGGCAGGATTTCATCCTTAGGGAGGAAGGATGGAAAGGCATTCCTGGTGGAAGGGAAGGCACATGCAAAGGCCCAGGGGAGGAAAGAATAAGGCATGTGTTAGGATATGAGCACCTTTGCTGGTCATCTTTTGATGTGGGGAACTCCCTCTCCCCTGGTAGAAGGGCTGTCAATCTACCTCCACCCCTTCCACAATGAGAGGGCTTATGATCCAGGCTGGCCAATCGGAGAAGTCTGCCTCCTGCCTCACCGTGATTGGTTCAGGGATGTGAACAGGACTGTGCCAGGCCAATCAGAGTGCTCCCTGGTACTCTGGCTAAGGCAAAGAAGAATGCTCTTTTCTCTGACACCACTATCGGTAAAAATGATACAAGCCCAAAGCTATAAAAGCCATTTAGGGAAATCCCATTGGGACTAAAGTTAACTCAGAGGGAAACAGGGTCAAAAACAATTAAAGAGCAAAACTCAATCCTTACAGCGTTCCTGGAACTCCTGGATCCATCCATTCCTGAAGTCCCTGGACGTTTCAGGTATGCACCCACAAAATTCCCTTATTTACTTAGGCTATTTTTAAATTGTGTTATTTTTATTTTTAGGAAAATATACTCAGATGTTGCAATTATGCCTGCAGTCATAACACTTGATGCTGTGATCCCATCTACCTCAAACACAAAATTGCATCAAGCGATCTCCAAGGAACCTGAGGGCAAAAGAGGTGTTGCTGGCTGAAAGAGGGGCCTCTCTAACCACTTCATTACGCAGCAGACATTGGTGTAGACTCCAGTGCAAGTATTTTGAACGCAGTGCCTTCTTTCTACCCCTGCCACTTTCCCCAACTAGTTTTTTTTCATCATTAACTTTTCTTTTTCTTTTATTCCTATCTGTCCACAAACCTCCCCTTTGGCAATCATCAGCTTGTTCACTGTATCTATGGGTCTGCTTCTGTTTTATTTGTTCTGCTATTTTAGATTCTACATATAAGTGAAGTCATATAGTATTCACCTTTCTCTGCCTGACTTATTTCCCTTAGCAAAATATGCTCTAGGTCTATCCATTACGTTGCAACTGGCAAGATTTCATTCTTCATTATTGCTGAATAATATTTCATTGTGAGTCCATTAATCTACTGATAGACATTTAGGTTGTTTCTACATCTTGGTTATTATTAGTAATGTTACAATGAACATAGGGGTGCATGTATCTTCTCTAATTAGTGTTTTTTTCTTTGGCTAAATACCCAGAGGTGGAATTGCTGGATCATATAGTAGTTTTATTTTTAATTTTTTGGAACTTCCATACTGTTCTTGGCAGCTGCACCTATTTACAATCCCACCAACAGTACACAAGGGTTCCTTCTCCACATCCTCACCATGACTTCATTCTGGCAGGTGTGAGGTGATATCTCATTGTGGTTTTAATGTGCATTTCCCTGATGATTAGTGATGTCAAGCATCTTTTAACAGGCCTGTTGGCCATTTGTATGTCCTCTTTGGAGAAATATCTAGTCAGCTCCTTTGTCCATTTTTCAGTTGGATTGTACTTTTGATGCTAAGTTGTATAAGTTTCCTCATATATTTTGGATATTAACCCCTTATTGGATGTATCATTTGTGAAAATCTTCTCCTATTCAGTTGGTTTTTTGTTTTGATTTCCTTCACTATGCAAAAACATTTTAACTTGATATAGTTGCATTTATTTATTTTTTCTTTCACTGTCCTTGCCTGAGGAGACACATCCAAAAAGATATTGCTTTCTTTTCATTTCTATTTGCATGGAATATCTTCTTCCATCCCTTTGCTTTCAGTCTGTATGTGTCTTTTGATCTGAAGTGAGTCTCCTATAGGCAGCATACACATGGGTTATGTTTTTTAATCCATTCAGTCACCCTATGTCTTTTCATTAGAGCATTTAATCCATTTACATTTAAAGTAATTATTAATAAGTATGTTTATTGCCACTTTGTTCGTTGTTCTTAGTTTGTTTTACAGCTGTCCTCCATTCCTTTCTTCTTCTCTTGATCTCTTCCCCTGTGGTTTACTGTTGTTCTTTGGGGTTCCTTTCCCTTTGTTCCTCGTATATCTTTTGTAGATTTTTGGTTTGTGGTTACCATGAGGTTTTTATGTACAGGGTGGGGCAAAAGTAGGTTTACAATTGTGAGTATGCAAAATACAGAGTTTATTCTTGTTTTATTATTTATTATTGTATTATTTTCCACAGGAACAACTGTAAACGTACTCTTGCCCCACTCTGTATATCATCCTTTATCTATAGGAGTCTATTTTAAGACATTTAAGTTTGAATATATTTTATAAGGACTAGGTTTTTATTCCTTCCCCCCATGCTTTATGTTACTGCCATCATGTTTTAGATCTTTTTGTGTTGTATATCTCCTACCTGTGTGCTGTAGTTTGAGTTTTTTGGAACTGTTTTCTTTTGACCCTCACAGTAGCCTTTTAAATGTCTGATTCGCTGTATTTATTAAATACTTGGTTTTTAATAAATAAGGTGGCCTTTCTCATATATTCTTATTTCTGGTTATAGCCTTTCCTTTTCTGGTTAAAGAAGACCCTTTAACATTTTCAGTAAAGTTGGTTTAATGATGATGAACTCCTTTAGTTTTTGCTTATCTGGGAAACTATTTCTCCTTCAATTCTGAGTGGTAACCTTGCTGGGGAAATTATTCTAGGTTGTAGGTTCCTTTTTTTCAGCACTTTCAAGATGTTCTGCCACTCCCTTCTGACCTACAAATTTGCTCACAGCATCATATGGTTTCCTTTATATGTGACTCATTTTCCTCTTGCTGCCTTCAAGATTATCTCTTTAAGTCTTGCCATTTTAATTATAATACGCGTTGGTGTAAGTCTCTTTGGGTTCATCTAATATGGAACTCTGTGCTTCCTGGACCTGAACGTCTGTTTCCTTTCTCAGGTTAGGGAAGTTTTCAGCCATTATTTCTTCAAATAGGTTTTCTGTATCTTTCTCTCTTTCTCTCCTTCTAGTAATTCCTATGATGTGAATGTTAGTAAACTTGATGTTACATTCCAGAGGTCCCTGAGACTATCCTCAGTTAAAAAAAGTTTTTTCTTTTTCTTTTTGCTGTTAGGATTGGTTATTTCAACTAGTCTGTCTTCCAGATAACTGATCTGTTCTTCTGTATTAGCTAATCTGATTCCTTCTAATGTATTTTCATTTCAGATTCTTTGGGTCTGCTTTGTTCTTTCTTATACTTTCTCCTTATTGTTCTAAGTTTCTCTATTCCACTCTCAAGTTTGGTGAGCATCCCTATGACTATTTCTTTGAATTTTTTATCAGGCAAATTACTTATCTCCATTTCCTTAGGGTTTTTTTTTTCTGGAGATTTTTCTTACCCTTTCATTTGAGAGAGATTCTGCTGTCTTTTCATTTTGTTTGATTTTCTATGTTTATTTATATAAATTAGACAAAAGAGCTCTCTCAGTCTTGAAAAAGTGGCCTAATGAAGAAGCTATCTCTGTGCAGGCTGTGTGCCACGTGGTTTGGGCAGGCCGGTGGGAGCCGAGCAGGTACCTAAGGTGCCTAAAGCACTGGCCAACTGAGCTGGAGTGGTTCCAAGTGGGGTGGCCACATTGTGCAGTAATACCCTGTTGGTTCTATTCTTCTTGCTCCCTTTGTTCAGGGCTGAAATGGGCTCAGGTGATGTGTCCAGAAACAACTTGCAGCAACCTGGCAGGTAGGCCAGAGCACCTGGATAAAGCCCCCACTCACCCTATGGAGATAGAGGGGGACATAAAAAATGTAACTCACTAGCCCCTCTGATCCTGGAGAATTCCTACAGTACCCGGAGAGCTCCCATAGCTCTCCAGTCTTCTCTGTATGTCTCTCTTGTTTGTTATATAGAAAGTGGTCTTGTGTAGAAGTGACCTCTGTGTAGGCTCAGGTGCTGGGTATTTCTGGGAATCCAGCTAGATCCAAGCAGGCACTATGCTCCTAGGGCACTGATGGTCTGACTAGAGTGCTTCCTTGTCTTCCTGTCAGGTGTCAGTAGTTATGCCCTGTTGTTCTTGTTTGTTCCCTTGTTCAGAGGCAAATGGCTCTGGGCAAGGTAGCTGTTAACTGCTGTGGTGATCTTGCAGACAGGCCAAAACCCAGATCAGAGCTCCTACCAGCCCTAGGGAAGCGGAAGGGAATGTAAACAATGGCACCAGCCGCTACTCCAGCTCAGAGAGTTCCTGCAGGGCTTCCTTAGCTTCCCAGCCATCTCTATTTATTCTCTTTATCTTATTTGTTATTTAGAAGCTGTTCATTTTCAGCATACCTGTATATTTAAGTTTGCTCAGGGAGTGGGGAGTTTAGCGTCCTTTGCTGACTCCATCTGATGTATTTCTACCCCTTGCAACCAAGAGATATTATCTTGACCAACATAATTTAGGACTAGTGAATAAATGAGTTAGGTTAGCATTTGGGAGAATACAGTGGCAGAAACATGGTGTGTATGTTGTAGGGTTGTTAATTATATATGCTCTCAAGAAAAGATGAATGCAAACAAATACCATCCCCCCAAAGGGAACATACACCCAACAACTGAGGAAAGGAATGAAATACCCAGGACTTGGCTGATGGGACAGAAATAAAATGTAAATGACATCAAGAAATACGGGGGTGGAATGGGTAACTGGGGAGAAAAAGGGACATCTGTAATATTTTAAACAAAAATAAAATTAAATAAATAAATAAAAGATAAACCTTTCCAAGCTAAAAAAAAAAAAAGAAAAAAAGAAACACTGGTGAGCTATAGAGATTCTTATCATCAACACCCACACCTTCACCCCTACTGCCCACACACGAAGGCCCCTCCCCACATGACAGGGAATCACATCAAACACACACCAGCCACAGAAGGTAGAGCGCAAGGATGACTTGCAGAGGGGCTGACCAGATCATGTTAATGTATGTGGTCAGGTCCATGAACCTCTGGGCGTCCACAGACATGAGGTTGACGATCTCTCCAACCGTGGAAGATTTTCTGGCAGCATTGGTGATCACTAGGGCCTATGGGATAAAGAAGAGGGAAAGAGTGTGAGTGTGGCAGATGAAGAGCCCTGTACTCTGCCTCCAGGCCCTTATGAAGGAAGGAGGCTGCTCAAGTAGAAGGGCGACTGCTCTTTCCTCCTCCCCTGCCAACTTACCTGCCTCCCCAGCTCGTCCATCTCATCACGAAGCCCTCACTCTTATCGATGGCACTTACTGCCTCTACACCTTGAGCTCTTCAATGTGGAAGGGACCTCAGAAGTTGCCTACACCTGGGCTTTGCACACTTTTGTGTGTGCACACGCCTTACCCAGGAAGTCTGTTACCACGTAGGCTCTGATTCAGCAGATTTGAGGCAGGACCTGAGACTCTGCATTTCTAACAGGCTCCCAGGTGATGCTGATGCTGCTCGTCCCCAGACACACTGAAGGACCAAGGTCTAGACCCGGGTTTCTCAATGTTGGCATTGCTGACATTTGAGGCTGGGTCATGCTTGGTGGGCCTGTCCTGTACATTACAAAATGTTTAGCAGCATCCCTGGCCTCTCCCCACTAGATGGCCCACCTTCAGTTATGACAAGCAAAAATATCTCCAGACAGGGACAAACATCACCTGGAGGGACAAAATCACCCTGGTTCTCAGATACGGTTTCATACTATTACCTGGGAACTTTTAGAAATACTGATGCCTGGGTCCCACCTTCAGAGATCCTGATTTTCTTGTTTGGGGTGTGGCCTGGGTGTCAGAAGTTTTTGAAGCTCTCCAGGGGAGTCTAACTTGTTGACTGGGCTGAGAACCAATGATCTAGTCTGCTTTTCCCGACTATCTGCTAGACGGTCTCTTCCCAACCCATGGGTCCAGTGGGTGTCCTTGCCCCAGAGGCTAAGAAAGGAAGGGACCAGGAAGGCAACCCAGTTCCTATAAGCTGTGCACAAATGCCTGCGAAGTACCCTGTCATCCAGGAGAGGGACCATCTGCTCAGTTCAAATGGAGAGTTAGAACAAGCTCAAACACAGACTATGGATAGCAGAGCAAGGATTTGAACTTGGATTTCCCCAAATCAAGTACCACGTAAGAAATTCCACTTCCCAGGGCTGACACGGCCCATGGCTGACATGGACATCCTACAGGCTCACCCCTGAAATCAGCTTGGCTGAGGCCTAATGCAGAACTGTCAATCCTTCCCATCCGCAGTCACTAAGGCCACCAGGAGCTACTGCTCCAGGAGCTAGGCTTGCAATCCCCGTGGTAGCCCCAAAGTGACCCAGTCAATGTCAAAGTCGGCCATGTGCCCACCTCCTGGCCTCACCCACCTTCCGGTAGACGGCACCAATGACGGCAGACTTGATCCTCATGCCGCTGACGAAGCAGATGTGGAAGTACTGGTGCAGCATAAGGGTCTGGAGGCAGGAGCTGACGAACAGGAGCGCAGTGTAGAAGTAGCCATGCCAGCTCGGGGCCTCCTTGTCATTCACAAAGTTGATGAGCAATCTGCAGAGGAGCAAGGACAGAGCCCAGAATGACGTTCCCAAGATGCACACGTGCAGGGAGAAGTCCTTCAGTTTCAGCGTTTTGACTTTCTCCAAAGGCAGGCGAGGTGAGCATTAGTGTTTGAATTTTATAGATGGAAAACCAACCCCGTGGTGGTGATCTGACTGGGCAGGCTGTCCAAACCGCTCATGCATGACAGGGTGCCTTAGGCTTCTTGCACTAACTGTACCATCACCCAAAGGTGACCAAAGAGAGAGCATAAGGGGACAGAGCAGAGAGGGTAAGAGAGCAAATGTGTTGGCCCCAAAGAGACACACAGAGAGAGGAAACAAAGAGACAATGAGAGAGAAATAGAGGGAGGGAAGGAGGGAGAGAGGTAAACACAGAGAAGAGGTGACCTTTCTGACTTTCTGGTCTGAGGTTGCACTTTTCATGTGATCTGGCCTTCTGTACTTCCCAAGACAATCCTCTATCTTCCCCCTTTTGGCTTTAGGGGAGCATAGTAGGTTTTTGTTTCTTGCAATCAAAGTGGGCTTAATTAAGATGCTATTAATGGAAAGCACTAAGCAAAGCAGGTTATCAAAGAGACTGGGCTGTAAGCCCCCTGGAGCATGCCACATGACCCTGAAGTACCACCTGACCCTAGGGAGAGTTAGGAGCATCAAAAGGGGAAGGTCAAGAATGTGAAGGGTTGCCCAGCTGGGAAGAAAGAGGTCTTACTTCAAGATCTCTGGGCCAGTAAACATCATGAGGTCGTGCAGGGCCTTGAAAACGAAGCTCATGAGAAAGTAGGGCCCGAAGGTCTTGTAGAGCACCTTGAACAGGGATGGCTCCCGCTCCTTCTGCGGGGACCTGACGATCAGAGCCTCGGCCTCCTCATTCACATCCACCTTGGAGCTCGCTTTGGGCTTGGCAGGATCCTTGGAGGAGTACACGATCTTCACCAGCTGCCTGGAACACAAGGAAGGAGTGTGGAGCCATGTGGGGTCTGCCAGAGACTGAGCCCACTGACTACAGCAGAGGGCCAGAGGAGTCAACCTTTATGACCTTGGATTTGGCAGTGGATTCTTAGATATAACACCAAAAGCACAAGCAACAAAAGACAAAATAAATAAACTGAACTTCATCAACATAAAATACGATTGTGCTTCAAAAGACACTATCAAGAAAGCATCCTCACATAGTCTTTGAGAAGTAGATTTCATTAGGACCAAAAAAAGGAAGTGAAAAGACAACCATGGAATGGGAAAAAGAATTTGCAAATCAAAAGTCTGATAAAGAACTTGTAACTAGAGCACACAAGGATTTCTTCCAACTCACTAAAAAAAAAGACACCCCAATTTAAAACCCATTAGTTATCACAGAAATGCAAACCAAAACCACGGTGAAATATTACTTCACACCCACGAGGATGGCTATCATCAGAAAGTCAAATAATGAGTGTTTGCAAGGATGTGGAGAAATCAGAACCCTCACACATGCCCCTGTGAAGTCCTCTCTGCAGAAATGATAGAGCGTCACTTGCAAGATTAGGTCGTAGGACACACTGTGGCTTTCACCTGTCATCTCTTAGGTCATTCACTCCGGGCAAAGCCAACTGCCATGTTGTGAGGACACTCAATGAGCCCTCTGGAAAAGCCCCATGGTGAGATCTTGCCAGCAGCCAGCACTAACCTGCCAACCATGTGCAACTTGGGAGCAGATCCTATAGCCCTAATTGAGCCTTCAGAGGACAGTAGCCCTGGCTACCATGCTGACTGCAACTTCATGAGACCCTGAGCCAGAGCCACCCAGCTAGGCCACTCCTGGATCCCTGACCCAGATACTGAATGTACATTGTCATTTTCAGCTGCTTAGGTTTGGGGCTAATTTGGGGCTATGCAGCAGCAGATACATCCCCTCTACCAAAATGTAGTGAAAGCAGCATCCTCAGAGGGCTAAACATGGACTCTAAGCCTCATCCTCACCCAACACTAACATTTACAACTTACAGAGTTCTTCTACAGCATGAGTTCACTGAATAGCATTCGATTTCAGGAGACTCCTGCTTGTCACATCTATGCCACGTCTGCCTATCTGGACCATGTGCAACTCCCCTCTAGAGACCATAGCCTTCCACCCTGCCTTGGTCGTGTCCCCACTCCAAACTGTGGGCACTAGTCCAGGCTATCAAGTCCCTGTCTTTCTCCTCTGTGCTCCCTAACCCAGGAAAGAACCAGAAACGTGGGACTCATCCTTGACCCCCGCCTTCATGCTCCCCAGGTCTGATCAGGCCTGTGTCCTGTCTGCTCCACATCTGGGATGTGTGTAGTCATCTATTCACTCTTTCATTCTCCACAGCCTCCAACCCGTGCAAGTGACCACTGCCAGGACCTCCTTACTACTCCCCATTTCCTCCCATTCTTCTTTCCTTACAGCCAACTCCCTGTACAGCAGCCAAGGGGACCATCTTAAAAACTCATCATTCCCCTCCTCCAACTCCATCAACAGCTTCCCGCTGCACCCAGAGTAAAATCTAAATTGTGTGTGAAGCTGCACAACTTCCTGTGGCCGCTGTAACAAATTACCACTGACTAAGTGGCTTAAAACAACACAAACTTATTATCTCGTATTTCCACAGGTCAGAAATCTAAAGTGGGCCATAGGCTGTGCTCCTTCTGGAGGCTCTCGGGGAGAATCTGATTCCTTGCCTCTCCAGCTTCTAGAAACCGTCCTAGGCTCGAAGCTCCTTCCTCGATCTTCAAAACCAGCAGCACAGCATCTTTTCTCTCCCCCTCTCTCTTTCTTTCGCTCTCTCTCTCTCTGACCTCCTGTTTCCCTCTTACAAGGACACGTGATTATTTGGCCCAGGCACTGCACAACAGTCTCCCTATCTCAAAATCCTTCATTTAATCACATCTGCTAAGTCCCTTTGCCATGGGAGGTGACACGGGCACAGGTTCTGGGGATCGGGATGTGGACATCTTTGGGGAAGACGAACATTATTCCACGGGCCACAGAGGATTATTTGTTTTCCATGTTGTCCATGTAACCACGTAAGGTCCTTCCCTGCCTGCTTTACTGACTTTCCCTGAGGTCGGGTTTCTGGCTGGGTTTTGGTATTTGTTTCAGCACATATGCCTTCTTGGCAAGGAGGAGGGGCGGCGAGCAGAGAGGAAGGGAGTGGCTCAGCCCTCCCCTGTCCATTCTCTGCACCACTTCCCAAGCTGGGCCCTGGGCCTGCGTGGCCTGGCTAACCCAGGGCTGTTTTCCGTGGCTGGGAGACGGGTGCCAAAGGGCCAGGGAGGTTTCAGGCAGGCAGAGAGGAGGAGGGCTCAGAGCTTGGAGGAGGAGGTCAAGACGGTGGGAAGGATCAGCTAAGGCCTAGCCAGGAAAATAATATCCAGTGACAAGAGCCCTGTGAGGAAGGCGCTCTGGGAGGGGAAGGAGCCAGCAGGGTATCTGAATGGTCAGGCTGGGGGGGAATGGAAAGTTAAAGGGGGTTGGTCTGGGTCAGGAGAAAACTGCCCAGAACAGGGGAACAGAAACAGGTGAGGAAGCTGGAAACTGGGAAGAAAAAGGGACTTGCTGACTCAACTGGATTTCGATGTGGGCAGAGGTGCCCATTGGTTACTTGTCTGTAAATGAACTGAACATGTGCCCTGGGCCAAACACTGAGGAGAGTCCACCATCAAGGCACCTCCTGAGAGAAACAGATCTTCATAAGCCTATGGGAGCCAAGACCTACAAGATAAGGGAACAGGCCCAGTTGGGGAGGGAAAGGCGGCTCCAGGCAGAGGGAACAGCATGAGCAAGGCCTGGAACTAAGGATTTTGAAAAGAGGTGGGGCCCCTCTTCCAAGAAGCACAATAACCTTGAGGTAGCCAGAGCAGGGTGGAGAGAGAAGACTGGAAGGGGCCTGGACCAACCAAACAGCAGTGAGGAGCTACACATGGCTTTGTCTATCATTTGTTAAATAAGACCTTTCATCTTCTCCCAAAGGTAAAAGCTCACACTTAAAATGGTCTTAGTTTAATTAAAATTCCACATTTGTGGATAAAATTCCACATTTCTGAACATGGTCTTTGACCTATAATACCCAATATAACACAGAAGGGCAGCTCTGATCTACAATCATGGAGAAAGAATTTTACAAACTTAAGGCACATTTCCACCCTTCTTAGAGCTCACAAGGTACAGCAATGGCTTTGGGAACCATAGATGGATGTGATCCACCCCCAACCCTTAATGAGCCCCTGGGAAAGTACAGCCCTGGCATGATTTTAAGTGTCACTTACAAATGCAAATGACTCAAGATGGTCTTCCTTTTTATGGTTTTGTGTGTGTTTTTTATATTGTTTTGTTTTTCGAGTGCTTTTTCTTCCTCAAAAACACAGGCTTCTCAAGGGGGGCTGTTCGGCAAATGCACATTCTCAGACTGTCCTAGGGACTGAGCCAGGGAACAGTCCCAGAGGAAGAAGATTCCAGCAGGCACCCATGTAGGTGAAAGGCTTGCCTAAAATTACCCAAGTCTAGAATCCAAGCCCATCTTCCGACATAAATCCATACACAGTGTGCATTTCCTTTTTTGCAAGTTTAAATATGCCTCAAAATTTTTTTTCAGGAATGCAGTGACTGTGCAAATTAGGAGAAGACTATATTTTGTTAGGAACTTTGCCAAGGGTTGGCGTTTGTGAGGGCGATGGTGAATCTGGCCAGGCTGCCGCTGCCTGATCCTCAGAAGGCCCAGCACACCCAGCAGCCCAGAGCCCGCACAGGCTACCTTAGTCTCTGGCTACCTGAAGAGGCCTTATTCCAAGAGGCCACACCAAGAAATTCCTAGAACAGGACTCCTCTCACCCCCACCATGTCCGCAGGGGTTACAGGTGCTGGATCTGGCTCAGGCCTCTGGGAACAGAGCAAGTGACCTATGTGCTAGTGTCCCAAGGGAGCAAACCCCCAAGCTGAGACACCCCCTTAAGGCAAAGGTGCTAATGGAGCCAGCACCCCACGGGAAGCCCACATTAGAGCCCAACAAGCCAGTTCTCGCCATGTTCTCCCAGGCAGCATGGAAGCGCTCAGCCTGGTGTGCACAGATCAATAAACACAACCTGTATGACATTACCTGCCCAGGGTTTTCACATGGCTTATGAGATGACAGGTAACTTATCACATGATGTTTATCTCCTTGAATTCTCAGAAAGCCCTCTGAGCGGAAAACAAAGGTCTCAGCACATTAATGACTTAGGCAGCCTCTGAGGCCAGACTCTGGTCTCTCCCGAGATCCACCTTCCCCAGGGCAGCCCCACGCGTTGTTATTGAACAGAACTCACCACGTGCCACTGCCCCACGGGAGCCCCCCTCTACCTTCTCACCACACTTGGGATCAGACCCTAACTTGCTCCCACGGCACGGAGACCCCCGCAAGTACTTCTGCTTCATCTCCTCGGGTGGAAGAAGGAGGTGATCGCTGGTCCTAGAGTGTGTCTGGCTTTCCCCAGTGGCAAGAGGACTCACTTACTTTCTGGATTTGGCACATTCCTTCTTCCAGTTCTTCACTAAAACGGGCACAACTTGTTCTGACATGTCCTCCTTATTCAGGGACCAGAGGTCAGTGCTCTCCAGGGGGTGGCGGTAGCCCTGGACCATCAACCTGGGGCGGGAACACAAGGAGGGAGGCGATGAGAGTCGAGAGGAAGAGGAGAGCGGCCCTCACTGCACAAGCCCGCCACCACCACCACCACCGCCACCTCCCCGCCACGGCAGCCCCCGCAACCAAAGGCAGCTGAGCACTGGGACAATCCAAATACGGACATTTGCGGACATTGAATAATTACTGCTAAATTGTTAGGTCACCCAGGAAAAAATGGCCTCATTTTTTAGAGGGAATACTTAGGAGGGAAACATCAGGATATCTCCAATTTACTAAGGAAAACATTTTAAGGCTAGGATGGCAAAGCATTACCAACGGTTAAATCTGGGCAGTGAGTTTAGTGAGGTTTATTAGGCTAGTCTTTCTACACGTTTGAACATTTTCATTGTATAAAGTAAACCAAATATTTTCACTTGCTATTTTGAAATAATTTCACACTTACCAAAAAAATCACATGAATTGTACAAAGAATTCCTGTCTACCCTTCACCTCGTTCCCCATTGTTAATGTTCTGCCAGGTTTGCTGTATCATTTTCTATCTCTATAAACACACTTATGAGAACACATACAATGTTTGTAAAAACTTTATGAAGACAAGGAACAATGCTGATCAGGGGCGGAAAAAAGATTCAAAAAAAATCCCCAGTAAGATGCTGACAATGTGGGGGGAGGGGAGGAATGTGGGGGGGAAAAAGGACCAGAAGGTAACTGTTGACTGTGGTTGCCTCTGGTGTTTTCTGTTGTTGATCTACTTATGTTTCTCTTACCCACATGTCCTACGGTGCATATATTATGTTTCTAGTGGTGAGGGGTTTGAAATAATGCCAGTAATAGTAATTATTCCTAATGTAAAAAAGTACCCAAATCCAAAACTAAGCCAAGAGCATGCAGTTTCTAACTGCTTGAGGCCAAACCGTCCAGAGGATCAAGTGCTTTACGGTTCATGGAACTCGAAGTTCATGCATGTGGGGACAATGTCAGTGTCTCTGAGACCCATGTCCAGGGCAGGCGCAGTCGGGACACAACTATGCCACACACTCACCTCTCACACTGACTCCCCGCCCACCCTCACCCGGGGCAGGAGGGCCAGGCCTTACCCTGTGATCCACCAGAAGGTGATCCTGGAGAGGAAGGATGCTCCAGATTCTGGGCAAGGATTCTAGTGGAGGAAACACAGGGTGGGGAGGAAAAGGGAAATGAGTGATTCAACTTCTCGTCTATGACAGTACTTGGCAGGAAACAATCGGCTGGACCATTCTTCCTCCCAAAGGACCAGCGGCCACTAATTTGCACCCAGAAAGAATGTCTCTCCTAAGCCCCAGTGGCCTTAAATAAACCCATGGCAGCTCCTCCAGTTTCACCCAGCAAATATTTCTGAATGTCTACTACGTGCAAAAACAGTACAGTGCGTTCTTATATCCCCTCAGCAACCCAATGAGTGTGGTATTACTGCCATCCCCGCTTCACTCCATGCATTCTTTCATTTGTTCATTCAACAAATATTTCTGAGCAGCTACTATGCACCTAGCACCATGTACACAAATCTCGAAAACAGATATAACCCACCCCCCTTTAGGAAGCCCATGATATACCAGGTGGTAGCAGTGATAACAACAACAGTAACAATAGCACCTGCTAACATTCTCTCCTAGCTAGCTCTGAGTGCTTTACACACATTATCTCATCCAATCCTCATGACCACCCAATGAGGAAGGTAAAAGCATCTACCTCATTTTATAGTACAAGAAACTGAGGAGCACAGGGGTGAGATGACTGGCCCAGGGTCCCAAGCGAGAAGTGACAGAAACAGGATGTGAGCTCCGGTCAGGCTCCAGTGACAGACGTTAATAAATGATCCCGTGAACAAATTAAAACCACAACTATGATAGAGCTCATACCCCAAAGGTATGTCAATGGGATCACTGGTAACTTCCTGGGCTCACAGTAAAAGAGCTGGTAGGGGATGGGGGCTGATCTAGTAGAGGGAGGTCAGGGAAGGTGTTCCTGATGAAGATGCTCAAGCTGAGGTCTGAAGAGTGAGTACTGGACAACTAAGTAAAGGGGAGAGGCAAGGTGGTCCCAGCAGTGAGGAGGGTATGTGCAAAGGCCCGGTGGTACATGGGAGCATAACCTCCTCCAGGGACCAAGAGAGGGTCTGAGCAATCTATGCTGGAGGCTGTGCACAGTCTACGCTGGAGGCCACATAAGGAATTTGGGTCTTCATCCTAAGGGCAACGGGAACTTGTGGACAGATTCTGAGCAAGCTCTCATAGAGCCTCCTTCCCAAAGGCACAAAGATGAGGTCCAGTTCAACAACATACAGACAAGGAAAGGGACAGCGCCTCTGGGATTGCACACTCCGGCCGGCTTTCAATGCTGAAACACTCAAGTCTAAATTCTGAAATACCAGCTTTAGTGAAGGGGTCACCATGCCATGATGAGCTCTTCAATTGAGGATTGTGCTCAAGGACCCAGCATTCTTCAGAGATGAATCATTGAGAGACCCCCTTGACCCAAGCGGTCTTCCCTCTAGGCTGCCCCAGAATCACCCAGGTGCCCAGGGTCCCAACCCACTTTTAGAAAATACCATACCTGGGCCCCACCACCCAGAAATTCTGATTAAACTGGTTTGAGATGGGACCAGGGCATCTTGAGTCTTTGTTTTTAACTCCCAGAGTCTCCTTGGCAAGGTGGCTAGGCAGAAAATGTACAAGATAAGCCTAGAACACCTTGTAACACCGGGCGCCAAGGAAACTAAAGCCAAGCAAGATTGCTACAAGGCCCAGGAAGCAATAGGGAGTGGCTCCCGCTAGCCTAAAAAGGCACAATCTGAGCTGCAATAGACAGTGAATAGAATGGACTGAAACCCATCACATGTTTAAATACACAAGTTCATACTAACACTGAAAAAAAGAACCACCACCTCTTGGTGTCACTGATGAAAAGATGCTAGTGAACCAAGTCGTTCTGAAAACATAAAAGGGGCAGGAAACAAGCATTTTCCTGTCTTTCCTCAGTGACCTACACCAGAGAGGGACAAAAAGATGAGGGGATGTGTCTTTGCATAAGAATAGTCCAGCTAATAAATGAAGAAATGATATAAGGTATGAGAGTGTGCCATGTTGCAAGCACAATGGTGTAGAGAAATATTTCATGATATTAAAGAATTATTATAAATGTTTTTAGGTGCGATAATAGTTGTACTGTTTAAAATCCTCATCGTTCAGATACCATCACTGGGGCAAGCTGGGTGAAGGGTACATAGGAAGTCTACTATTTTTGCAACTTTTTGTGAGTCAAGTTATTTCAAATTAAAAAGTTATTAAAAATTTTAAATTCCTTATCTTTCAGAGATACATACTGAAATCTTTGCACAGGCGACTCAGGGTAAAGAGTCCACAGCAGTTCATTTTACCAGGCTGTCCACTTTTGCACACATGTGAAAGTCTCCATCAAGACAAGCTTCCCCAGTGATTCAAACATGACTCCTGGGCTGAGAACCACCAAGCTCCTCCACTCTAGAGCCACGAGGCCTGGAGAGGTTCCCAGCCCTGGCTGCCCCAGAATCACCCAGGTGCCCAGGGTCCCAAACCAGGCCAACTAGATCTGTACCTCTGAGGGTGGGGCCTTGACATCAGTATATTTTTAATAAAGTCAGTCAGATGCAGCTAGACACAGACCTACACTCCAGACCAACCTAAGACAAAGCTCGAACTGTAGAGCCAGACAAACCTGGGTTCAAATCCCAGGCCTGTCATTTGCTAGTTGAATAACCCTGGGCGAGTCCCTTTACCTCAAAGCCTGTTTTCACATCTAGAAAACGGGAGCGGTTAGTCCTACTGCTCAGCCTACCTTCCAGGACTACAGGGAGAGACAAATCAAATGAGGTCCATGGGACTGTGTAATAAGCTGGAATTCTTCCAACCTAAGGCAGCAATATTGTCTGTGGAAGAGGTGATGGTATTTGCTCTGTAGGCTGGGTTTTTTCCAGAACTGGGTGGGTTATTAGGGAATCACCAAGGCGTTTCAACTGTAGCCCAATTCCTAGCCATTGTGAAAAGCTAAGCAGTGCTGGCAAAAAAGGGGGCAGGGGTGGGGCAGACCTGGCAATGACTCGGTTATTTCTTGAGCAAATATTTAGAGAGGATCTGCCTATATGCCAGGAGGCAGCTAAGGGGTGGGGACAGAGCTAGAAAGGAGAGAGTCCTTTCTAGCTCACCCCATAAAACGTTGGGACTCGGGGGGAAATGGACAGGAAGTAAACCAAGATACAAATAAATATATAACTATAAATGATGAGAGCCGAAACAAGGGAAAAACACCCGGTGCCAGAGAGAGAAGAGGTGGGGAGCAGGGGTGGCTGGTGTGTGAGCCAACACAGAGCCAGGTAGTCAGAGGGTCTGAATCCCAGCTCTGCCACTTACTAGCTGTGGGCGCTTGGACATGGGATCTGGTGATGAGATTGAACGAGATAAAGCATGTAAAGTACTTAGAACAGTACCTGGCACAGAGTAAAAGCTCAAGAAATGGTATTAGTAGTGTTAGTAAAAGAGAAAATAGGGAAAACAATAGCAAAGACTTCCATTCCTGCAGGCCCGTGACACACCCAGCCCCATACCAACAGATGCTTTATACTGGGGTCAGCAAACTACAGCCCATGGGTGGCCGCTGGGAAATAAAGTTGTACTGGGACACACTGATGCCCATTTATTTACAAATGTCCGTGCCACAAGCAGAGTTTCATAGTTTTGACAGAGACCATGTGGTCTGCAAAGCCTATGATATTTACTATCTGGCTCTGCAGAAAATGTTGGCTGACCCTGCTTACATCAGACCTCATAACACTCCAGGACACAATGATTATTAAAGGTGAAACTAGAGCTCAAATGGTGGCCTCCTGCACCCAAACTCAGTCTTCCTTCAGTCTTGGCATCAGCATACAGTTGTTCAAGTTAGGCCTTGCACAAAGACACCCAGCGGAAATGCACCAATGCCCACTGAACAAGACCGCCAGGTCCTGTGCCAGGGAGGGACACCATCAACTTCAAAGAAGCAGGGCCTGTCTCAAATTCATCCACCCAGGGGAGATGAGTCATCTTTTTCTAATTTGCACAGAGGCACAGTGCAAATAGCAGGAGTGTTAGGTATATACCCACAGGAGCCTCACAAACACCAATTGGGCAACTCCAGCTGTGGGTCAAAAAATGAAGCAGCCTGTGGACTGTACAACTGTGTACAAAGGAGACTGTAAGAAATCATGGCCCAGAGGAAAAACATTAATCCTTCCTCCGGCTGTTAAAAATCCCAACTCCTGTAAGAAAAGTCACCCTGCAAATTCAATGAGGCCGGGCTATTACCACGAACATTCCAGTTTCTGATTTGTACACTCCAAGAGCTTTGTCAAATTCGTCTCCCCAGCTCTCCTTCCTCCAAGGGATCCAAACACAGATTTTCAGATTACTGGAAGTCACATCGGGCTGACACACGGTCCCCATCATCAGCAAATACTGTTATCCACTTGGGAGCCACTTTCTGGAAGCCCCTATCCAAAAACAGACGACTAGAGTGCTTCAGTAGCCAAGAACTGATAATAAAATAATTTTTAAAAAGAAGAAGAAAAGGGCTAATGGAAAAGGATCCAGACAGCAGACCATTCAACTGAAACCAAGCAGAACGTTCTGGTGTAGTAATTCATTAAGCACAAAAGCAGAGCTGCCAGCTTGGGGTTTGCGGCCTCTGAGGCTAAAATGGACCAACTCCTGACCCAGGACGGAGGTTTATTAACTGGTCCCCCATTCATTTAGAAATGAGAGTAATTCACACAAGCCCTGGCTGACAGCAGGAGGAAAGTCTGATTTATGCAAACAGAGCTGCGTTCTTTGGCATCGGCATCTGGCTCCGGGTGATCTGGCCAGAAACCATGTGGATTAAACCAATTTGATACAAGAGCCCCGGGCACTGGTTCTCTGAGAACTACTCACTCATTACCTCTCGCACATTGCAGTTTGGGGACCTTGTCCAGGTCCCCACAGTCTCTTTTCTGGTTTAGACTCTGCCTTTAGTTTGCTTGTCTGGAGGTGATCCCACTTTACATTTCCTAACCCCCCAGGAGTAAGGGACAAGTAAAACAGCAGGACAGCTCAGAGCAGGGGTTTTCTA